GGGGCACACCTGGTTGCATTAATTTGATCCAAAGTGGTTTTGACGGGCTGCCTGCACTCTGGCGTCCCACATTAAACCACTGGAACTGAGCACCTGCTAGCAGAGAGAGCACTAACACCGCTCTGTGGAGCTATACGCCAAGCCGGCCGTCCCGTGTCTTAGCAGTCACTCAGGGGAGTCGGCTCAGTCATACCTTCTTTCAGACTCAGTGGCAAACATCTGTAAGCGAGAGGACCTGCGACGCTGACCTGTAGTCACACTGAGCTGAGGGCCCGGCGTGCCCAAGATAATTGTCTGTGGAAGCCTCCCAGAGGCCGTAAAGGCGGCTTGTTCCAGATCTCCTGATGATTTCACAGGACATTTAACTTTACACCTCTCATTTGTTACCTCCTCGGGGTATTTCCAAATAACCATTACAGGTTCCCAAGGAATGTGGCAACCCTTAACCTCCACTGGCTTTTATGCATCGCATAAATTGCCTTGGGGATAAATGTGACACTACATTTTGAGGTAGCGACACTATGATGTTTGTGTACGTGCAAGCTTAAGCAAACAGATGACCTTCAAAAGTGAGCATTGGAAATATGCCACAATTTCTTTGGATTACAGATGCAATTCCTTGTCCTTTCTAATGAATTCAACAGCCAAGAACGAAGCTGCAGATGTTTGAATGGGGCGTGCCTCGGGTCATGCTGCACTCTATGTTGCAACCGTTTTTTTGTGCCCCAACAATACATTAATTTCATGAGTCAACAGGCTACGACTGGCAGCTTGTGTCGAGCTAAACAGTGTTTAATTGGATTCCAATCCATGGCAACACCGCCAGAGGCTTGTTTCCATCTTTTATTTCAGCAGCACCTGGAGCATAATGGCAGTGATTACATCCCTCCTGTGGTGTCCCGATGGTTCAACCCTCAAAGGCCCCTGGGAAACCGCCGCTGACAGTCACGGTCCATGCTGCCCCGTTGCCCTGTTTGGCTGCTGGCAAACCCTGAGCTGCTGCTGATGCTGAGTTTTTGTTACAGCACTGCTGAGACGTGGCAAGGTTCAAAGGGAATCGTGATAATGCTAACCAAATTAATTGTTTACTGCACAAACTCAGGCAGAGAGGAGATTCCAAACAATGTATCAACAAAGGACTCCTAATTGTAGAGACATTTAATGAAGGCTGTTCACTTGAGATTTACTTTGAGAGAACTTTCATGAGTCATAGTCAGTTCACTTTTGATGAGAACAAACCAAGCATGTAGCAATCATGTTAACAATAAATGTTAGAAAGCTAACTATTACTCTGGGGGGGGGTTTATATTTATGAATCATATCTTCTACAAGAGGTAAAACGATTAAAAAGAACAAAGGCTGATAAAGAAACAAGGCTTTCAAACACATAAGCAACTCGGCAACTTACACTTCTATCTGCTGAGGTTTAATATGGCTGATCATTCCACATCTGCAACCACACCATCACTGTGTTGTTTTGATACCGCTCTTATTTCTTTACAGTCAATATGTAGATATAGTGTCAGAAGCCAGGTAGCTGGAAAAAGAGAGAAACAGTTAGCCTGGCCAGTATAATCCCCATAACAGAATGTATAACTATCACTATAAGCATTATTTCAGTTCATTTATTCATGATTTTTTTTTTTTACTTGATGCAGTCACTTTATTCAGTTCAGTTTATTGCCATTTGTAGCATAAAAACCACATTGGAAAACATTTGCAAGAGGTAGACAGTACAATTGGACATGGGCACAGGACAGTGAGTTTAAAAAACAGACAATATAAATATAAATAAAAAGGGAAAAGAAATAAAAACAGAGACAGTAAGGCCACATGAGAAACATACCAGTGAATCATACAAGTTTGCTCAGGCTGCACACAGCGCAAGGGAAGAAGCTATTTGCATGACGGGACGAAGTGCATTTAATAGAGCGATACCATCTACCTGAGGGAAGAGGAACAAAAAGACTCGCAGCAGGATGACCCATGGGGTCCCTGATGATGCTGAGGGCACATGACAGGAGCCTAGCACTATAAATCTCTTCTAGAGATGGCAGGCTGACACCAATCATTCTACCTGCACGGCGAAGTACTTTATTTAAGGATTCTTTCTCCTGCACAGTGAGGTTACCAAACCAGACTGTCATCGAGCTACTGAGGATGCTTTCACTCCTGTAAAAGTTATGTAAGGTGAGTCTGTTTAAGGTAAATTCTTTTAATTTCTTTAAGAGGAAAAGACGCTGTTGGGACTTCTTAACAGTGTTACTGGTGTTTAAGTGCCAGCTGAGGTCATCAGAAATAGTGACACCAAGAAATTTAAAACTACTCACCATCTCTACGGCCTCGCCGTTTATGGTGATGGGAGGATGGGATACCCTTTCCCATCTGAAGTCAAAGACTAACTCCTTGGTTTTGGAGGAGTTCAGGATTAGATTGCTTAAGTCACTCCACCTGACTAAGTTTTGTACCTCTGCTCTGTAGTGTGATAAATCATTTGAATTAATGAGTCCAATGACAGTAGTATTGTCAGCGTGTTTAACGATAATGTTATTATCATGTAAGCAGTACAATCATAAGTACACAAGGAGAACAACAATGGGCTTAGAATGCAGCCTTGCGGTGACCCAGTGCTTAAAACAAGCTTATGAAGTTTCCTGTCAATGTCACATTGGTTACAAGACACTGTGATACATCTTTGTTTCAATTGACGAAGCATTAACAAATTACTGATGAAGTAATATTTAGGAGGCTTTTTTGATGATGGAAGGTGAGCCTTTGGATAGTTTTAGACGAACTGCTTCCAGTTTCTATGCTAGGCTAAGCTAATTGTCTACTGGCTCCAGCTTGATATTTAGGCTATTAAACCCCTGAAAGTAGTTATGTGTAGTCTCATAGATAACATTCCATCATTTGAAATACTAAACCACAAAATATAACACAATTTAATGTTTAAAACATTCTTATTCTTCTAAATAAAGTACATTATTTTCCCAGTGGTTCAGAGTGGATTGAAAGTGTTTCGCAAACCTTATTTAGCCATTTCTCTGCTTTCTAAAAACCTTTGATGGAGTGTAAATGCCAACATTGCCAATGCATGACTTGGAAATGAATAGAATAGAAGAAAGCGATCATACATATTTAAAAAATGAAAAAATAGCACACACGCCATTTTTAAAACGAAAATCTTTCAGTGTCTTCAGAGTGACACCGGCTAACAAGGCCCTGGGAGGACACACATAGAGCGATCGTCCTCCCCATCCACGTAAATTGCAGAAAGGTCACCGACCCCTGCCGTTGGAGATTTGGGAGGAGGGCCTGCGCATGAAGTCAGCGCTGACAGCACAGGGAGGAATAACATCTCTGGGCCTCTGACCTTCAGTGTAGCCCCTCACCGTCTTACAACCACAGAGTCAGACACACGTGAATAATACATTGGCCTCCCCTGCTGGGACCACAGCTCACACATGCAGAGATACACAAACACAGCATTCACATGTGAGGTCTGTCCCCAACAGCATTCTATGCAATAATGAACACTGTGCGTTAGTACAGCTGAGACAGATCCATGTAGCTTCAGTACGTTTAAGATAATCCAATTGCTTTTTAAGAGTAGCAAATACAAGTTTATGTACATGCCCTTTGTCCCAATTGATTGATGTAATACATCCTCCTTAATGTTCACAGGTATTAGTCCTTAACTCAGATTCCTGTAAAGGTCATTTTTTTTATTTAGCAGAAAACAAGCTGCCGCCTACCATTTATTCTTGTTATACATTAGATTTGTATTCTTTTTCTTTCACTCCCTTTATTCCAAAGCAATATCAACATTGCTTAAAAGACGAAACAAAACTCACTGCATCTTTGGCCTCTACAGTAATTTTCTCTCCTCCATGCAAGAAAGGGAAAAAAAGATCGAGCCACGAGTATTGTGCTCTTTGCACAGCCAGAGTGAACAGAAATGCATGAAACATTTTTAAAATCCCCTGTGATTCCCCGGAAAGGCAGGCTCTCTCTCTCTTGTTTCCATCTGCTTTACATACAGGAACAGCTCCGCAGTTTGCACTGAGATTATTTGAATTTCATAGAGTGTTTGACATTTGATAATAGTGCTGTGTGTTTATAGATTCGAGACTTCCCTGCCGCCGGTTTCCTATCATGTTTGTTCAGGCTCCCTCCCCCAAGAAAGCAATTGAATACAAAAAAAATCAAATATCTCTGTGTGACATCAAAATGACAAACCCAATTATTGTCTTAGCTTTGCCTGAGCAGATACATATCAATCAGCCTTTTGAGGAACTCTGCATTAACATAAAACATTCTGGGAAGCAGGTGCAATGAAAGATGGAGAAAGACAAATGTTTGTGTAACAGTTCCACCATAATTGATTATTATGGCATTACTGTTGTGCCAATACAACACAATGACTGGATGTTGCTCACCTGTTTAGATGATATATGCATTATTTACTGAAGCTCCATCTCCTGAAGATGAGACTCAGAAGCTGTGCTGTCACAGGAGCATTGTTTTATGTTAGCCTAATTGACTGAGCTTTACAACAGATTGCTGTGCAGCTATAAGTGAGAGAGAGAGTGTGGACAGATGGGACAGTGTAGGAGCAGAGTGTAGGTGTGTGTACTCATAGTAGGATACTGGCAACATATGACAAACAAGTGTGTTTTTAGCAAAATAGTGTGTGTCTGTGTGTGTGTGTGTGTGTGTGTGTGTGTGTGCGCGCGCGCGTGTGTGTGCTTCTTCACAATAGGATGTGCAGCTGTTATCACCCCCTACTGGGGCACGAAGTGAATTATGCCTTATTCAAACTTAATAAAAAAAGTTGTCAACTTTGCTGCAAATGCAAGAACAGTAAGAAAACGTATTTTTTCTATCTTGTTTGGGAGGTTTTTTCTTTTTTTTTATATCCGTTGCGACACCTTGAACGTCACACGGAACCAATGTTTTCTGGTGTCTGAGAGTTCCCTTCCGGTATGTTTATGTTGTCACACAGGCAGTAAAGTTGTGATTGGAGTTGTTACAGGTAGCCTCGGTGCTGGCTACTGTCTCGTATTTTATATAGAAAATTGGATTAACGGTGAAAATGTCGTGGTTGTAGGTAAATATAACATTCAACGCTTGTATTCAGCTTAAGTTCGCGGTGTTCGTTTCAACACGGCTCGGTTTCCTGAATGTGTTGTATCCTTCTTTGACAGCAAGCTTTAATAAATCAGCCCAAAACGTTAGTTTAATAGTTGTTACTTCTCTTTACCAGATGTGTAACAACTTTACAATAAATGTAGCAAAGTAAATACATATTTCCCGGCAAAAGAGTGTTTTTTTTTCTTATTATTTTCGTATTTTCGAGGTTTAGCCATTTTACACAGTTACGAGTTTAGCAACAATATAAAGGATTGCAATCTTCAATCATTGTGTGCATACGTATTCAAATGACGCGTCATTGTTTGTTTGTTTATTTCGGGCTATTTGCTCAGTTATTCCGCATCAAATTAAATGTAGCCTGTCTCTAAAGCCTATTTAATGTTGTTGTATTTAACATTTATGTGGATGCCAAAACATGCCTTATAATTAAAGCTGTTCCGGCCAAGCTGAGATAAGGGCACCCATATGTATTCTTTATGAGCTGAACGTGATACAACGTAAACTAAAACAAATATTAACACCAGAGTGTTTTGAAGACAACATCATTGTGTTCCTTTAACTTCCTCACTCACATAAGATGAGGTGTAGGTCTCTTAACTTCTTCCTTTCCGACTCTCTGAATGACATTTAACAAACAGCATCCAACTTTTTTTCGTTGTTAGATTTTGTTTTGCTAGAGGTCGAAGGCTGCACACATACTTCAGCTGTTCAGACTGATAGCTGCCCTTACACTTGTGAATAACTCAGGCTTGAGGCTAATTTGATTAGAATCATTCTATTTGGTTCAGTCTGTTATCAAAGTAATAAGGCACTCAAGTTAATGAGATACTCAGAGTTGGCTGCTCTGTACGCTGGTACTGTCTGCAGCGGCACAGAGCATCACGACGTGCATGTAGGCACATTGAGAAGAGAAGGTAGGGTTTCTCATGATGTCCTCATCTGTTGTGATTACAAATTTGTAAATAACATGTTTGCATCTTTTTTTTACTGCAGAAATGAACAAATGTATATCTGGGATCAATGACAAAGTGTGACTCTGAACAAAGAGTGAAAAGTTAAACCATGCATGTGTATTTTCTTGAAATCAGAATCCCAGCTTTGATTTTCTTTGCTTGTCAGTGATAACAAATGCTTTCCTGTCTCACCATCACTGTCCCACAGCATAAAGATCATCTCATCAATGGCTGCACTGTGGTCAAAGATCTCCGCTGCTCTGCCTCCTGATGAAGAACAGTTTCCACTCCAGTTTAGTGACAAAGTGGATTCCAGTGTGGTGGAAATGCTGAAGCGGTCCACTCGGCAGCTGTACAGCTACGCCGCAAGAACTTTGCAGCTGCTCACTGCTCAGATTATTCTGGATTTTTCGTGGGAGAAACTCAACACAGGAACGTGGCGCGATGTGGACAAAGAATGGAGGCGAGTTTATTCTTACGGGTGCCTCTTCAAGGCGGCCGCTCTGTGTCGGGAAGATCCGTCACCAGAAGAGGTCCTGCAGGCTGTGAAGACGTGTGATATGGGATTACTCATGGGTGCGGCCATCATGGATGATATACTGCAGGTGGTTGTTCGGATTCTGCAGGGTGAAGTCGGGAAATCGAGTAAAGATGAGGAGGAAGAGAAAAGGGAGCATCCTCAGGTCAAGGTCAGTTTTTGCAACTTTTTTAACACTTCATACAATTCTTAGGGCTTAAAGCTGAGTTCTATATGACAATAAAAAAATAAAAATAAAAATTGAATTACAAGTTAGAGATGAAAGAATGAAAATAATCAGTCTCTCCATGAGATGAAAAATACTGCTGCTTTGATTTAGTGACAAAAGAGTTCAACCTTAGCCTAACAATATAAGGCACACTCATCTATCTATAGTAACCTACATAGAAGGTTGTTGTTGACAAAGTTTTAGAGCAGCAGTTTTATTGCTGCGCAGTATTTCCTGTGATGCTTTTATTCTGAAGAGAAATTGCAACAAAAGATCTGATGTCAGATCACTTTGTTTGGATGCACTCAAAATGAAGGTTTGGGGTTTGGTTTGTTTATTGTCTAGATGACTTGTTTTTGATTCTTTTCTCGTTGCCATAAAAAAAAAAAAATCAAACACCATAACTATTCATATTGCTTTATTCCCGGGTGCATTGACAGTATAATAATATGGACAAGACACCGGAACCTCCTCCTGTTGAACATACAGTAGATGAAGCCAAAATACCCTCTTGGTGGGCGCTGACATATTGCACATTTGGAATCAGCAACGCTCCCTCAGTTCAACACAGTCCACAGCAGAAGAGTCTCGGTCAGTCGGTCTGAAGCAGACTATCACGGTTTAGAAAAGTCAAATGACTCTTGTGTTAGTGTTCGTTACATTTCCGCTTGTCGTGTCTCCTCTACTCTGTTTATCTTGTGCACACAACAATGCTGTCTATCATTTTTATAGCATCAAATAAATAGTCTTTTTTTTTTTTTTTTTTACTTTTCCGATAAAAAGAGGACTTCAGCGTAATAATATCTCGCCATCATGTCGGACTAATTTCCCATCTATCTCGAGGAGGCGGAGTTTATGAGCTACACTGCAGCAAGTCGACAGGTGGAGCTAAAAAGGGGAGGCGTCGTGCTGTTCATTCTTTAAACAGTCCAAGCCCGTGAGTGAGGGTTCAGCTAACATTTATTTCACCCTTTGATCAGAGTAATCTTATTGTCTTAGTTAATCATCATTATGCTAATAATACATCAGAGAGTTGTGAAGAATATCTATGGGGACATTCTCAGATCACTTGTGTTGCTCCAACAACAGTCCAGATTTAAGTCAGAGAAAATCAGCACATTCAGCACATGTTACTAAAACAACTGATCTGTTGCGGAAGTGCTTGTTGATATATATGTTTCTCACATCTTCTTCACTATTTATTATTAAGCTTACTTTCTGGCCTTTGCCTTCATTGGTTAGTTCATAACCAGTTGCCCTCTTCTTCAACTGTTCTTCTTGGCTCCACTGTGTAGACAAATATTATAAAAGACAGCTATTTTTATCTCATCACTTTCCCCTTAGGCTGCCTTATTTAAGAGCTGTATAAAAAAAAAAAAACAGACAAACTCTTGTTTTTTTTTTTAAATCTTAAACAGAGAATAAAGTTGGAGATCCCACGTGTTCCAGTGATCAAAGAAGAGCTGGCTGTTCCCAGGATCAGGAGTCCTTCACTGGAGAGCTTCAACAAAAAATACCTGCTCCCACTCAAACCAGTGATTTTAGAGGGAGTTATTGACCACTGGCCTGCCCTCAACCAACGACCCTGGAGGTTTGTTTCAACCCGAAATCATTCAACTTAAAAAAGATAAATACAAATTGTCAGTTCTCTTAAATGGTATCCCGAATGTTAACCCCTTAATCCTTTTTTTTTTAAAAAGCTTTATTTTGGGGCTTTTCATGCCTTTATTTTAGAGATACACTCACATCTGTTTGAAACCAAGCAGTCTGATGACAAGTAAAAGTTTCAGCCCTTATGGCAATAAGGTTCAGGTAAGTGTGAGCACCATAAATTCAGTTAATCTTTGTTTACTTGTCACAACATCCCTGCCTCTAATGTCTGACACCACACTCTGATGCAACCGCCTCTCCATTTAAGAATCTCCTTCACTGTCCTCCCTCTCACCGCCGACTCCCGACAGCTGACTATTCACTCTGACATCTGACACACGGCTCCTGGCATCTCACTCCAACTGTGGAGGAGGACATCCACAAGTGCATACCTGACATATTTTGGGAGCAGAGCTTGAATCCCAAATGAGTGGATTATTTTTTTGTTTGACTTTCCCGTTATGTTTACTTCATTGATTTTTTTTTTTCCTCCCTCCTGCAAAGCATAGAATACTTGAGGTCTGTGGCCGGTTGTCGGACGGTTCCAGTCGAGGTGGGATCGAGGTACACGGACGAGGAATGGTCTCAAACACTGCTAACCGTCAGTGAATTCATCGATCGATACATTGCAAATAAAGTGAGTATCTTGCTCCTGCTTTATCAGCATGAAAAGAGAACGTTTTAACACCTCTGCTTGATATTCTGACACTCTCATTATTTATCACCCAGGATGGAGGCAACGCTTTGGGATACCTCGCTCAACACCAGCTTTTTGATCAGGTGTGTTGAAGATTTTTAAATTTTACTTCTGTACATGTTCATGAGTTTTCTAACAGATTTTTCACTTTGCATTTCTCATCATGATGAAGAATGGAATCTTCTTTTTTGCCAGTTTTCATTCTCACGTCATATTGCTTTAAATGGTTTTGACTTTGACCTAATTTTATTGTCAATACATTGTCTGAAGTGAACTTTACAGAAAGGGTACCTTGTCAAGCTGAAAGCTGGATATTCTTGGACCGTTCAATGAATCAGAATGAAGGCCCCTCATCACCCGACATAATTTTTCCTCATCCCTGAGCAATCACCTCTGATAGGCTGTTCATATGAATCTGTAACCTGACTGCACCGAAAGATCAAGCGGATGTTTTCCTTTAGATATTAATCAAATCTTAACTACAAATTAGATTTTTTTTTTATGAAGAAGCTATTCTGATATTTTGTAACTATTGAAGCTCGTGTGAGAAAAATTCTTCAGTTTGTGGATGTTTTGGCGACCCCTGTAGACAGAGCAGTACTTCTTATGTGTTGGCTGATCTTGTCCTGTACATGAGTAGGTTTTGTTTTATCATGACAAAATCTCATTCTGTTTTCTTTTAACTGTCCTCATGTAACTGCAGAACAGAGTCCAAGTCAAATTTCCCTGTCTTATCTTATCTCTTACCTTATCTGACAGTAAAATGTATCACACCCTCACTGTGAATCTTTGCCGTAGAAAATGTGAATGAAGGCTGTTTCTGTTTGCTCATTTCCTCTGACATCAACTGAGAAGTGGTTACAAGAGTTTTAAATTACGATACAGAAAGTTGTCACCTTCTCTGTGATGGTCTCCTTCGCTTTTGTTGGTTAGAGAGGCAGCAGTATTCAATTCAGTCTGTTTGATAACGAGCTACAAACTCACCACAGCAGCTTTAATGGGAATAACTGACCAATGTGTGATGTCCGTGTACATATCTGATGACACATTCTGTAAACTGAGTAATTTAAAAGTCACATGTTGCTGTTATCATGCTCATGAGTTCCACACTGAGGGATTTACAGTTTTTTAAATAGTGGGGGGAAAAGAGCACAGATACTTCACAGGCACTGAGACAGATATCCTCACCTGACATAAATTGTTATAAATAAATAAATAAATAATAGGATTAAAAAAAAGTCTGATTGGACATCCTAAACTGGCATTATAGAAGCTGCTGCAACAGAAAAAAGACTAAATAAAAACAAAAATAAATAAATATAGTGACAGTAAATGGCTAAAGCAATGCTAGAGTCTGCTTTGGCAGAGAGGCTATTTGGGCTAATTGCTAATGTCAACATGATAACAGTGACAATGCAGTTAGTTTTGTTTTCGCTATGTTAGAGATGCTAATTAGCTTAGCTGTAGCCAATGGGGATGTCATGAAATGTGAAGGTATTTGGTCATAAGTCAAAGGCACATATTGTTCTAAGTGACCTAAGTGAGGATGAAAAAAATTACAGGTTTGACTGAAGTTTTTGCAATTCATCTTTATGTGGATGTGTAAGATTTATTTTGGGGCTTTTTGTGCCTTTGTTGGAGAGGTAGGAAAGTGGATAGAGTTGGAAATTAGAGAGTGAGAGAGAGAGTGGGAAATAACATGCGGGAAAGGAGCCACAGGTTGAATTCGAGTTCCTGGGCTGCCCGCTTGAAGGACTATAGCCTCGGTACACGGGGAGCGCGCACTCCTTCCAATAGATGTTGAGATATTTCAGTGTGACCGAGGTGGAGGACAGGCTGACGTTACTGTCCCTGGAGCAATGTGTTTATACATAGTTTATGACATAGTTAGGCAGATGTTCTAATAAGGAACAGTACGATATTATTTAATCATCTAAAATGCCTTATTGATGTAATTTTTAGATTCCAGAACTGAAGGACGACATTCGCCTCCCTGATTATTGCTGCCTGGGGGAAGGAGAAGAAGACGATATTACAGTGAACGCCTGGTTCGGCCCTGGAGGAACAGTGTCTCCTCTTCACCAAGATCCCCAGCAGAACTTCTTGGCTCAGGTGACGACAACAACAACAACAGCACACCTTTTCTGAATCCAGTTTTCTGACAAAGATCTGTCACGTGACCAGAGTTTATTTATTTACTGCACTCCTATATACATCAGGTGGTGGGGAGCAAATACATTCGCCTGTATTCCCCAGAGGACTCAGACAAGCTGTACCCTCATCAATCCGAACTCCTTCACAACACCAGTCAGGTTGGATTGACAGGAAGTGTGTGTTTAGCCTGCAAATATATGCAGTGTTTCTGATTTCTGACTCCTTCCTCCCATGCAGGTGGAGGTGGAGAATCCTGATGCGGAGCAGTTCCCCGAGTTCTCCAAAGCTCCGTATCAGGAGTGTGTGTTACAGCCCGGAGAGGTGCTGTTCATTCCAGTGAAACACTGGCATTATGTCCGCTCCTTAGAGCTCAGCTTCTCCGTCAGCTTCTGGTGGTCGTGACTGCAGGCCCGTAATAAAAAAGAATAACTGTTGCTTGTTTTCTTGCTGCTACGGAGGGAATTTAATTTGGAGTTCTATAACCACTGCTATGCTCATTTTCATAAATCTTGTGACAACCAGTGATCACACAAACCTTTTGATCCATGAACAATGAGCACACAGTGCTGAATGATTAGTTTAATTGTGCCGCTGATGAGTGCAGCAAAATCTATTGTGTGGAAAGCTACCCGCAGGAGAACAAAAACAAACAAATGAGGAGTTCCAACTGTGTGTGCTCATTTCATCCTGCATATCATTAACGCAGGGTTGTTAGCCCTCTAATTTGATAGGATGTGTATCTCTTTTCTAATTGGCTTATTTAATTGTATTCTCAACCTCATATCTACAAACATCCTTGTACGATGTGATTTCCATAATTCATGGAAATGAGGTGAGTCTTCAGATTTAATAACCGATGGAGCTACAGGTACAAAAATGAACTAATAAACACTGGTTTCTGGTTAGAGTGACAGTGTGAGGCAATGAATGAATAAATGAATTAATCCCCTGGGCACAGACCGACTTTGAAATCCAAACAGTCTCACTGCTTTGATACCATGACAGCGTGACCCGTGATGTCACACCAAAGACACGATGAAGACAGGAAGCCCTGCATGTCAGATTTTTAAATGTATAACATCAGACCCCAGTCAAGTGTCCCCTAGGTCTGTTTCACTCGAGCACTGTAATTCCGACCGTGATGCCCAGAACTGATGTCGACATTAATTCGATTTTCAACCAGAATAACATTTAGCTTCAAGAAGTGTTCGGGGAAATCGGAGCAGAGTACTTGTGAAGGCTGGGGGAAGAGTGACTCCAGAAAATTGGAAGTTGTTTTTCTGATTTTTGTCACAGGGTGCTGGTAGCCTAGCGGTTTGTGCAAGCCTCCCCATGTACAGAGGCTTAAGTCCCTTAAATAAATGCTATAGAACTTATAGTCCAAAACATGCAAAAAAAACTGCGCTGTCCTCAGTTCTCTTCTTGAGATCTTGACCTATTTTTCTGGTTATCTTGGTGTTGCGCTTGTTTTCCTTTTATAAAAGATTCATTTATCTCATTATCTCGAGCTAGTAAAGTTTGTTTTCTCGGAAAAACCAAACAATAGGCTGGTCACCGAGAAAGGCCTGACCGTCACATGCGATGCGGCCATTGCTCACACTCATGATGGAAGTTTAGCCTTTTTTCTAAGTTTGATTTGTGCTTTTTTTTCAGGGGATAGAAGACGGAAATGAGTCATTGTCACAGTAAAATGGACTAAATAAAATGTCTGGATGCATGTCTTCATAAACCTGTAGACAGACTCAGAAACAAACTGGAGTTATTTTTGTAGATGTAAGAAATATGGCGTAAAACTTCACATAAAAGCCCATGCTAATGGTAGACGCAGTCCCTTTTTAGTATCCCATTTTTTAAACTTCATTTTTTTATTGATATCCTAGTTTTGTACATATACAATTGTATAGTCTTTGCCATCTTTGCTGTCCAAGAGTTGTGTTTGAAAATAATGAAAGGCCCATCTCGTATTGATGTCTATCCCAATTAAAACCAGGGTCATTATAAAGACTGAAGTCAATAAAAGCCTGTCCATTCATCAAGGTTTTACTGTTATTGGTTTACATAGAAGTTCACTTTATGACTAATTGATGTAAAAAATATATTGAAAACAGTGTTCTTTAAGTCCTCATAAATCTGATAAATAAATAAATTACACTTAAATGCTTTCATGATAGAGCTCCAAGAAAAAAGATAGTTTGATGTCTTGATTACGATACATTTTTCTATTAAGAAACACTGTTGACTAAGTGAAAAGTGATGCATTAGACTTGATGTTCATGTTATGAATATTCAACTTTTAACATTCCCTTAAAGCAGTCATACCTGTCTGGATTAAACTGTGTGAGTAAAAGCGTTGTACTTTGTTGACTTTGTTGTTGTCAAGTAAGTGGCATAATTGACTCAAGATCACACAAAACTGCTTACGCTCATTATAAGTGATCGATAGTTAATTACCAGTGAAGTCATGTTGGACCTCTGAGCCTATAACCCATCTCTTCCACCTCGATCCTCTCCTCCCGCTCCTCTTTTGATTAATGGCTGCATTGATTGTTAAATAAATCAGGAATCAAATCAGCAATTTTTTTATCTTGTTTTGTGAGACAATGAAGTGACCCTTTGATGTACGTTGGATATCTTTTCATGAATATTCCCATAATCCACTCAGATCTGAAACATAGACTCATGTGGGTGCAGCTCTGGAGATATATTTTTTCGCAATATGTTAGTGTCAGGGTGCTGAAGGGAGCGGCTGTGCAACTCAGTTCAGTCAAGGATCACGTGATTCAGTTGATCTAATTTACAGGTTATTGGCAGCTTGATCAATAAGCCCCATCTCTGTAAATACTCCTCCATAAAAACATTTCCCCATTGATTCAACCTTCCATGTCAGTTATTTTATGCGGCCTTAACCTTGTTTCACATGTACGTAATGTAAACTATGTAAACTACAGAGCTCAAAGCAGAATAATAAAGTATACAGCACTTCTGAATACTACAGGTTTATTTTGGGCTCTTTATGCCTTTCTATTTTAGAGTCAGAAATCAGAGAGTTAAATCCCAACCTGGGCGGCCGCCCTTTGAGGACAACATGAGGCACACCAACCACTAGGCCACCGGCGCCCCCTCAATAATACAAGTTTGAATAACATCACTTTAAATGTCAAATGGATTCTTCTTTAATCATTAAAGATTCACAAAGATTCAAAGAAGACACTTGAAACATGCACATTTTATTAAAAAAAGTAAAAAGAACGATTGTCGAGCAATAATTAGTTAAACATGAGAAAGAATATTTCTTCTCTTCTCTTATTCTGACAAACTATGAACAGCTTTCCAAGGAACAAAGTAATGGTATAAGATACATACAATCCTTTAACAATATCACTTTCTTTAACCTGAGCTGAAGCTAAGTATGAGTTAATATGTATGGTTATTTTCTTTTGAACATCCTACAGTAAGACCAACAGTGCAAAGGTGCAACATGGAGATAATGTTAATCATTAACAATCATACTGTTTATTATAGGGAAACTAGAACAGTAAATGTAAAAGGTTCAATGTGATTGATAACCATGTTACACTATCAAATATTCTCAAGGTAGTTTTGTTTTTGTTTTTTCAGTATTCATGTTTTTGTTTATGATAGGGCTGACAAATGATTACAACAACATTTTATCGTAATTAATTGCCAAATTTCTACAGTTAATCACGATTAATAGCACTTTTAATCTCATGTCTCATTTCAAAATAGAAATTGTTCCGCTTTTAATTCTAATTTTTGGACTGTCTTAAGCTGGGAACACTTTACTTCCTGTTTTAATTCAACCCTGCTTTTATTTTGAAATAACGTAAGGACCTTCTTGTAGATCAAAGGTTACAAAATGAACTTAAAGCTGGAGTATGGAACTCGTTCTGGATCAATACTAAATAAAAATCTTCTCCTACTTACTAACAACTGAAAAAAGACGCTGATGCTCAATAAAAACACGAGGTGGACACAGGGCCTAAGAGTTTTTTTTTAAGTGAAATGAGACATTCAAAGATGCAGCAGTGTCGTTCTTTCATCACCTTGACTATGGGGAGACACTTCAGAAGCGAATTCATCTCAGACTTGAATTCATCGTGATTAACTAGTTAACGCTGACAGTCCTAGAATATGACCTTCAGTGTGTAGTAAAGAGATTCTTTTATTTCCTGACGGTCTCAGTGTATACCACCTTGTGTCTGTCCTGTAAAAAACATGCTACGCTGGCATGGAGACGTGTTCTTCCTATTCTTCCTGTAAGTCTGCAGAGAAGTTTTGCATCCTCTCCACGACGAAAAAGCAGAGCGTTCCAGTGAAGCCCAGGACGACCATCAGGAGGAGCTGCCACATGAGCAGGAGGTAACCGCTGTAGAAGAACGCCACTGCAGCAAAAACAGACTGACAGAGGGGGGGGGGACAACTTATGAAACAAACACTAAAACATGAATCAAAATCATTCTGTCATCTGTCCAAGTACGTTTTTTTTTTATAGTAAGCGTCCAAGAAATGCGTTAGATTCTTTGGTTACATGTCTTCTCCTAAATCCATCCAACTTAATCCAATTGTAAATATTGTTCATATTCTCAATTACTTGTGCTTGAACATAACTTATTACTTATACTACTTTATTATTTCTTTCACTTGATACTTATGCTTATTATATTGTTAATACTATTTTAATTATATTTTATATTGTTAACTTATCTCTACTTCCTACTTATTTTTGGTGTTATGAGCAACTGTAGCAAACAAATTTCCCCCTGGGATTAATAAAGTATTTCTGATTCTGATAAAACATTGCTCTATGAAGGTAGGGCTGCTCATATTTTGCATGAGTGCCGGGCTTGTGTAACGGTTTCTGATGTTTTTTTTTATAGGTAGCGAGAAAATCAGACAATGCACAAGGCACATACGTATGAAGTAGCTGAGAAAAAAAAAAGATATTCAATATTCAGTCGAGCAAAGAGAAAAGAACACAATATCTGAGGCTTAGTTCTTAGAGGCCAGTTTTTCCAGGAGCAAAGGCAGAGATTAAAAAGGCGCGTGTTGGGTTTTATTCTTCTCCTTTTTAATGAGGCTTCAGGTGAATTTATTTCATGCCTGACAAGACAACACTTTCAACCCAAGCTTTGCTCGTCTCTGCTAACAATGTCGGCGAATTCACAACCCGGGGATTACCTGGATGAATTTGAAGATGGCGAAAGCGGGCGTGCTCTGTTCAGCATAAACGCGGCCTAAAATGCTGTACAGCTGCGTGTTGAAACAACTGTCGCCGAGTCCGAGCAGAAAGCTGCACAGGAGGGCGATGGATACACTGAAAGAGAAATGGAGTGCTTATTAAAACAAAACAAGGGAATAGTTATTGGCCTTCCAAGTATGCAGTATTGCTTATTCTGGAGTGGCGCTATAGACCACCTTGGAGTTAGATAAGGGCTCCTCTGGGTGACGGTTTTCAAGACGACAGGAGCATCACCAGGGATGTTGAGGAAAATCAAATAGAAAGCTACAAAATGGACGACCATTCCCAGAAACACCACAGAGGTCCGTCTGACGCGATTGTTCTTGCACACCAGTCCAAACAAGCCTCCCCCTGACGAGAAAGAACACAAAAGCAAATGACTACTTTTGGTGTCCTTAAATCACCCAAATGTGCTCCGATAAGAGGAATGTCAACTTACCCACAATTTCTCCAATCCCCACCATGATCCCAGAGATCCCGATCAGGCCTTTGGCTGCTTCTCCAAAGTGTGCAGTCGCTCCGATGCACGTGCCATACACTCCACTGTAGAAGGATAGCTCCAGGCCTGGAGAAACAAGGAGTGTCATGCTGTCGCTGCGAGCTGTAACTCGAGGCTGATTACATTAAAGTTATTCTCCGTGGGACTTACCGCTGTACGCCATGCAGGGGCTCAGGAGCAGTATGGTTTTAGCCTTCAGGAGCTGCACGATGGTTTCTGAACAGAGGAGGGAAACACATTTAAATTGCTAATAAGCACAAATTATATTCCAAACACTCCAATCACTTTTTTTTTTCTTTTTTTTTTTAACTTTTGGACTGAGATCAAATAAAGATCCCTTTCTTTGTGGCAATTGAAGTTCAATGCACTGAAAGGATAGGAACATAAGTCTGTCTCTTTAAGACAATATACTTTTTAAAGCAGGTGAAAGGGGAAGATGGGAAATTCAGACTTTGAAAGAATAAATTGCACCAGGTTTGTTTACACATGTCTGAGTCCCCCCCCCCCCCTTCTTGTCTTCAAAATCAGTGTGCATCTCCGATAAGCCTGATACTTCTTCAGGCAGTTGTGCAGATATGCGCAAGACAAAGAGTAATCTGATCATCTGAAACACTTCAGGCTGCACTGACAGAGGGGGGGGGGGGTTGGAAGTGCAGCCGGGTTTTTCCAGATGACAAACAAGATGTGATCTGAAATAAAAAGTCTTGCGCAGGCAGTTTTTTTTTCCTGTGATAGATTTGCATCCAGATGAAATGACAACACTTCCCTCAAGATACAGACTACATGCAATGAAGTGCAGATAACTAGAGATTACCTGCAGCATGTAAAGTTACTGAGAAGGAAACAAAAAGGTGAGGTGAGGTCTTAACTGTTAAATCAAATACGCCCTAATAACTCATATTCACTCTGCAAGGTCAAAGCACTGTTATAGTATTTTTTAAGCAGAAGCTGGAGTCTTTTCTTAATGGATGCTGATGTCAGTCCACTGCTTTGGTCCAGTCTCTTAACAGTGATAGATTTATTGACTATATATCTTTATACAGACATTTATGGGGTCTAGAGGGGAACTTTTTAATGGCTTTGTGGAGCCCCTGACTTTTGAATTAGTCGTACCCACAGTGTTTAAAGTGTTTAATTATCCTGTAAAATCATGTAGAAGGTGATTGGCCCATGATTTTTGAACAGGCATTCATGGTTCCCCAGAAGAGTATAATAACTGTAATAACCTGGCGTTCTTCTGGGCCACATCAGATTATGGTCCTTACTCAGAAAGATAGAGCTAAGATTAAAAATCAGGCAGCAGTGATTCTGGACTGTACAACACACTAATCCTTAAATGAATGGAAATCAACATAGAATACATTAAAGACCTAAAGAAAAGAATACAATACATCCAGCACATTAAACTTCACATATGAAAACAAAAAGTCGGCTGTCTATGATTTTTTTTTTACACTTTTCCATGTTTGCTGAGGTCGTTTTGAACTTGTCCTTTCCCTTCCTCTTTGATTTTCGTCGTGCTTTGCGTTCTGGGAGGACGTTCATCCGCAGCCCTCAAACACGCATTTGAGTATAATTTGATTAGTAACGCACTGAAAGCCTGCTCACAATGAAGCATGGATGTTGCAGCCATGATTAATCCCTTCATTCATTCTTTTCATGTATTATGCGTCCAGGGTTTTACATGCAGACAAACAGAAAACAACATCCCGTATGTACAGTAGTGTAACATGATCTAATCTGCTGTAATCTCTTGTTTTTCAAAAGCGTGGACGGCACTTACTCAGTTCTGACTTGGCGTCCTGCATGGCGGTGTTTGCTCTCTGTTTATACCTAAACGACAACAAAAAGAAGCGTTTGAAACTTCGAGAAAGGTGACAGCAATGAGTAAAGTAAAATGCACAAACAATGACCTGACTTTGTTTGCGTCGAAGTCATTTTAGCGGCATAAAGAGCCGACTGATCATCAACAGTATGCAGACAAACTTCTTACAAACGTTTCTTCCAAAGTAAGTAATGGCTCCATGTAGGATTCACTGTTATGCTGTAGAAAACTCAAACTCAAGACAAAAAGCAAAGCATCAAATAACTCCATCTAACAGATCCCCCAGACGGTCTGTAAACACAACCTGCTGCCACCGTACTGTCAGACAGAGGCTGAAGGAGCAAAACAAACTTGTCTATATGATCCTTTTATTTCAGTTGTGTCGTGTTTTCCACAAGGCTGAAATGTTGTCTTATACATATCGTTGCCGCAGCCATGTACCGGTACTTTCTCTGTGTTTCAGCGACCTTTGTAGCCAGCTTTATTTTTTAATTCTTCAAACTTATGATTTGAAGTAGAGCCCAACCGATTAATCAGCCATCCGATAATATCGGCAGATATTTGCTTATCCAGTGACTATCGGTATCTGCTAATTTTATCTCAGATATGTGCCGATATTAGAAGATTTATTCACCAGTCAAATAGCATTTGAGTTTCATTGGTGAAAGAGAACTGCCAACAAGCATTATCACTCTCCAGAGTGTCAAGCGGTGACGCACGTACGCGATTACTTGAGCATCTTATCTGCGTTATATATCTTTTCCACAAGTTTTTGATAACTGCATTAGAGGGATCAACACAATAAATGTATATCTATCTATCTCTAATGATCAAACATGGATCTAAGAAAGATATCAGCCAATACATCGGTATTTGATTTTTTCTTTCCACCTTATCGATGTCGCTATCGGCCCCAAAAGTCCCACATCGGTCAGGTCCTAACTTGAAGCAAACTTTGTGACATAAAAATTGTAATTTAAATCTTTTCAAAAGTCAAGACTGGAGGATTTTGGGCTTTTTCACCGCTGTCACTCTCAAAGAAAGTCTCCTTCCAAGCCCCTAAATCTTCCTGCTCCCCACTTGTGTAAATAGCCACTGTAAGGCTTGACTTTTAAAAAATGGCAGTAATCTGGTGAAAAGGGATGTCATCATTTTTTGTTAGGGGAAAAAAAGTGCTTAAAATGCTCCTGCAGAATGGCAACGTTAACTGATGTTAAAAAGTCAGGAAGGCTTATTTAAATAATGAATGATTTCTATGGTGCTTTTGTTGTAGATTAGCACTGCTATCTGCATGAATGCTACATTTACTATTTGATGTCACACCCACTCTTATGTGTTTGAGTAGGAGTCATAAAACAGTCCGCTTCTCTTCTTTGATATATTACAACCACTATCAGACAATACACTTTGATTGATTTGAGGGTCCGCAGAGAAATGCAAATGCAATGATCTTAGAGGCATTCATTTACATCATGCGGGTTGAGAGCAGCGACTGCCCTTCCTCTTCAGAGAGCAACTCTTCCTCATGATGACTCTTCCTCAACACCAGGAAGCTGAGCGTGCCGAGTACGGAGGCGACCAACAGGGACAGGAAAATGTTTTTCCTGCTGCTGTCTGAGGGAGGAAGATTAAATTAAAGCCCTTAATTAATAAACACGAGATATATTAACCACATTAAGCTGGAGCACATTCAGAATAGATAATCACTCGTTTAATTCTCTGGGTGGTATAATTATGAAAAGTGCTGACTCGGTGTTAAGCCTACCTGGTATCTCTGTTCTTCCATTCCAGTCAAAGTAAATGTAAAGATTGCCAAACAACATGCTGTGGATGAAGTAGAAAAGGTCGATCGGGTGAGTTAAAAACAGACATGACATTCACATGACTTAAAAATAGTTTTCTCTTAACATTCATGGCCCAGTAATCATTTTTCTGAGACTATTTAAAAAAAAATGTCTCAGCTTTAAAATGGTTTGGATAATTTTACTGAACTAATCCAACGTCAGGGTTCACTAAGTTACATGTTATGAAGCTTTCCACCGTAACATATGGAAAAGTTTTCCAACATTTTCAGAATATAGATCACATTATATGACATTTTTGGATGTACGATCAAGAACAAACTGTGCAGCTGTGAATCTGGGTTTAAACTAACACTGTAGATTGTACAGTTTATTTCTGATCATTTTAGCACACTAACATTTTTTTGGTTTGGTCATTTTTTTTTTTATTTCCGGCATATATCTTTATACTTTCACCTTCACTGATGTGTTCTATTTGCCCTGTCCTACTTAATGTTATCGCTGCTTATTTGTATAATGACAAGCATGTGAACGAGACGGGCCTTCAAAATAAAACTCAGTAACATAAAAACACAGCTAGAGTACAGCATGCAAACTAAGACAAACATTAGGGTTGTATATTGATAAAAACTCTAACCAATGTGATCATTAATTCAGTCCCCAGAAATAATGCAGTAACACTTCTGACCAATCAGATGCCAGATAAATCTGTCTACAGAGTAATTTTCATGCCCATTAAGTCATTTGCAAGATGTAACCATCTGCTGTTCATAAATGACGCTGACGCTGAAGTGTTAACAACTGCATTTACTTGACTGTCAACTTGAGGCTTGTAGAAAAAGCCATGGGTCATCTAAGTAATTTTACAACTCATTTGTTTAGATGATATATGGGCTAAGAGTCTTGCATACATTTGAGTGAGTGGGGGTGTTGCTGAGTGAATTGACTGATTGCGGATGTTAGCTGTTTGCTAAAAGGCTTAACACCCGCCTCAGCTCCATCTCTTTTGCCTGTTTCTAGATTATTATTTTTTTGGTTGAAATAGAATTTACAACATAGCGACTGTCATTGATTGGCTTCAAACGCCTCTTGAGAATCCTGCATATAAAGTTTGGGGGACCCAAACCTCTGGAGTATGACCCGAGGCTTTTGAAAAGTCAAATATTCCAACTTTTATAGAAGTTTTCACATACATGGTACATGCAGTGTACAAACGCCTCTGTGAACTGTTTGATTGTCTTTCATACACTGCCGTCCTATAAAGCGCTGTGCTCTTCTTCTGGCTTTAATTAAATATCACCTCAACTCAAAATGCAGATGAGCAATTAGTCTGTTCAAAATCCTCAGTGTGGGAACAACAGCAATGGCATACTGCGTGCTTGCGTGCACGACTACGTGTGTGTGTGTGCGTGTGTGTGTGTGTGTGTGTGTGTGTGTGTGCGTGCGTGCGTGTGTGTGTGTGTGTGTGTCTTTAGGCTGTGAAGAACTGATTTGTAAGTTTACTGTGGCAGGAATCACCGCTGCAGAGTCAGATTAGCATTGCCCTATTGTGAGCTTTGGCGCAGGTGACAGCCAATGTAATTATTATACTAAAACAATTTGCATATTTTAACAAATACAAACGAGTTGTCCCAGCCAGTGTGCACGAGCAGGGAGCCAAGTACAAGAGATGTAAAGGCCAAAAACTCTCACCTGCAGATCCAGATTTTTTCAGAGGCTTGAGGGTTATTTTTTTATATATTTTAAGAGATATGATGGTATGTCATTTGTCGTATGATCAATTATTTATCTTTATTACAATAAAGCACACAGTTAAATCATGTCAGGCTAAAAATATGGAGACAGGTGTTCTTGCTGTTGCTGTGTAATTATGTCTTTGATCAACAGAAATAGATGGATCAAACAAAGCAGGATGTATTCACTAAATACAATGATGAGGAGAAATAATATGCAACCTTGGAATAAGTTATAAATTTAGGAGGATTTTTAAAGTTCAGAACAAACTCTTTATTTTTATATTTAATTCACTCAAGGCCAGAGATAATCACACCATTATATAGAAGTATTCAAATGTAGCGTGGTTGAAATGAACCTTGAAATTCTAAATGAATGCATGGCGGTAATGCTATCAGGGCGGAATCTATTACCACTGAATGCGCTCATTCCTGCTGCATACCTGCACTGCAAGAGAGCCCAGAACATCCCCGTGTTCCTGTTGATGGTGGACGCCTCGGAGTTTTCGACCAGGAAGTGTCCTTGAGCCGTCCAGAGCACTGCGAGAAAAAGAGGTCATTTAAGGAGAGAAAAAAAAAAAATTAACCAGTCAGTTAATTACCCGCATGAAGTGAGAAATTATCACTCTGCGATGGTTAGCAATGCATCTAACCGCACAGAAGCCCCCGGGACATGATAAGAATTCATCACGCTGCAGTGATTCAAGGCTGAATTAAAAGCTGCCCTAAATAATTTTTCTTCCTTTTTCTAGTAAGTAAGCTCAAGGAAACAGATCCTCACTGGAATGTTCTCTATGCACATCAACGCATCCCAGACATTGGTATCCCTGTCTGCAGGATGGAACACTTTTAGGATTGGAGGTTGCAGATACCAAGTGCACAGGCTTTAGTGCTCCACTACTTTGCTCTTTTTTTTGACACACAGTCACTGCTCCACTTTTTTTGTCATTCCAAAACACAGAAGAAGAAAACAAAAACGTAACTAGACCGAATTAAAACTGATATATGGAAGCCAGACATGGCAGCTGAGTCATGCTTTTCTCAACTGAAAGAAAGTGGGGGCGCTGTTGGCCTAGCGGTTATGTCGGGAGACTCGTATTCAGAGGCTGTAGTCCATGAATGCAGGGACTTCGGCCATTTGTTGCACGCCTCTCTCTCATCCCAACACTCTCTCTTCAGCTGTCCTCTCCATCTAACAAAGGCAAAAAAAGCCCAAAAATATCTTTAAAGAAAAGGATAAAACATTTTAAGCAAAATTGATCAACATTTCCTGGCTTCAGCTCTCAAGAAGCAGAGTGGGATTTTCTGGCACGTCGTCACCAACTGCCAAAGGTGCATTACGTGTGAAAGTCTTGAAGAGGTCAAAAAGCTTCGGCAAGATCAACTTTATTAACAAATCAGACGGTCTAATTTATTAATAAAGTTGATCTTCATACTACAAGTGTTGCTCAAGCTTTTTGACCTCTGTTTTCAACTCAGCAAATGTGTTTGAGTTTAGACATGATATCCCCTTCATGTGAATGTTTTTAGCACTGTTTTTAATGGTGTAAAAGGCACATTCATCTTGATGGTTATATTAATGCGTCATGAGCGTTTCATTATCACCTTACAAAGTTAAATCTAGATTCACAAAGGAAACTTTGGAACAGTGATTCTGAGCCACATTGACCAAAAACTATTTCTGCAAGAGCCACAATCAAAAAAAACCTCTTTCTTTCCTAAAATACGTGTGGGGAAACACAGTGACATGACTTGCAAATAATCATTTCTGCTGTCAATGTTTCCCTTTTTAAAATAATTGCTATGGATTTTGTTTTTCCAAGTAGGAAACTAAAAGAGCCACAACTAGTCCCAAATGAGCCACATGTGGCTCGAGAGCCTCGGGTTGAGTATCAATGCTTTAGAATATGCATGCCTGCTGGGCGAACTTGAGGAAGCAACAGGCGAAACACGTTGTTCGCTCAAAATAAAATACAATAGTTGTATTCAGTGTGATACAGAGTTTTGTTCCTTCAACTGTGTGCACCAGAATATATAGTTTAAATATATTGGTTTAAATATACAAATAATCGGAATCACATTATACTCCGATTAAACTGGAAATGTTCATCCTGAATAAAAATGTATATACAAAACAATAAGAAGTGGGGTAAATAAGCTTTTGATAATGGTAATAATTATCAAAATAATAGTTGCTACTTTACTTTAAGATAAAAATCAGCAACATGAAAGACATCCTGTGAAATTGCAGTAAATAAAAAACAAAAAACAACAATTGGAGAAAACTTAAATTAAGAGATACATTCTTCTGATTATAACTATTATAATTAAGAAGTCATAAACATCAGGTATAGGCAAGGGGTTATTGAAAATGACAACCCTTCAGAGTGTAAACATATTTGTCGAAACATTATGTGTAATTTTCTCTAATTTAAGGAATTCTGCAACAAACTTTAACAGATGATCTCCTTTGTCTCCCTCTGAGGGCATCTAAAAAAAATAAAAAAAAATAAAAACACAGTTTGCTGAAGTTCATGGAGATGAACTTACATGCTGCTCCAATACCAATCAGAAAAGATGTGAAGTAAAAGGCCCATGTCAGGGGGATGATGAACACAGCGATGTATCCACTAGAAAAGAAAACATGAACAATAAGTTGCGTGATGTTTCTACTTCTTCAACATCCAGTTTATTAGTGATCCAAACTGTTTTTACCTGTAAAGTAGGCCACTCAAAAACATCGTCATTTTCGGTCCAATTACAGAAACAACTATTGGTGCAAGTAAATTGGAGAAAGAGAAGACCCCATAGATGATCCCAAGACTGTAAAAGAGGCAAAATAAGAATGAGCAATTTTCCAGTTTGACCTTGAAATGTAGACTATCGTTGAGGGTTTCTCTTTTCTCTTCACCCTGAGTTGAGCTTTTGAACCTGCATGACCTACCTGTGGTACCCACTTCCACTGAAAGTATCATTTTTTAGGCTTTTCACCACAGTTTGCTGAAAAATAAGAGGAGAGAGATACTCAGAATAGCACAGAAAGAAACAAAATTGGCCATAATTAATTCCTCAGGGCCTTCATCCGGTTTGAAAACTTCACTGACCATTGAAGAAAATTAGAAACACGAGATGCCCAGACATTACTGCAACCCTGAGTTCCCTCTTTCCTTTTGTCCACAGACATCTGCCAGTTTATTCAGAAGTGACATTTTCTGATAACTAAATTCGCGTCCAAAAATCCCCAGCTTCCAGTATTCAAATGGTTTTATGGCTCGTTGTTCTTTCTATAATGGTTTAACTAACGCTTTAGGTTATTATTGACAAATAGCCTACAAAACATGAAACGTCATTAATGATATCTTTAGATGTAGTCTACAATTTGTCTTATTGCGCAGAGCGATATACAAAAATAAATGTAGGATAATACTCAGTTAGAAAACAGGTTTTCGAAGCTAACAGAACAATTAAAGTGTAACTAACATTAAATTGAATGCGTAAAGGCTCATTAATAAAGTCTGCTAACTCACTTCAATGTTCCCTGTGGTGGTGAAGGCGGTGAAAATGAACAAAAATCCCAAACCCAAAATAACAACGTTGAAAGTCCTTATGTCTGCCATGACGTTTTCTCCACTCTTCTTTTAAAAATACATGTCAGAAGTGTAGCCGCTGACTTCACTCCAGTTGTGCTGTCGCTCCCAAACTGTAATAAGAGAACTTCCCTCCTATCATACCAAGTACGCATGACAACTTGTGACTTTTATTAAAACCAATTTTTTGCGGTCTTCCTTCTTCTTCCTCTTCTTCTTCGTCATGGTTGTTTTCATCCTCTCCCGCAGCTTCTTCTTCTCGTGCACTTTGTTGTCATTTAGCTTTGCTGCCTTCCAGAGGTAACCAGGAGGATTATTCTCCCTTCAAACAGGATAACTGTCATTTTGGCGTCGATTTTTTTGTTCTCTTCAAATTACTGAGTTGTGTGGAAGCCCATTTCCGCCAGTAAAAAAACTAAAAATGAAAACAATAAAGTCTCATAATTTCAACTTTTTATCTCATTATTTTGACTTATCTCATTATTATGACTTTATCTATAATTTCGACTTTTTATCTCATTATTATGACTTTATATCTCATAATTTCGATTTTTTTTTTTAATCTCATTATTATGACTTTATTATTTTCATTTTTTTTTTTTTAACTGGCGGAAATCGGCTTCCATAGAGTCGATTGCAAAGTGTCTACTGTTAACAAATTAATATATAGCCTAATGTTTAATGATGTGCTTCACTTCATAAAGTCTGACACAGGACCTCGGAATTAGGGTGCAAATAAATGCTTTGATATAAATGCAAGCTACAAGATATGATGTACACAGATAATGTATTTATTGTAGGTTTTATTTTTAAATTAATCTCAATGCTGTGGGTTGACTGTTAAACTATAAAATCCCATTATCATTCAAAAACTGTAATTTGAATCAGATGCTTAAAGTTCCATGTTGACAAAAAAAAACTTTAAACAGTGGTAAGCAGTGACTGGAGGAAAAGCAGAGTAGCTGTAAAAATAGACTAAACTGTGTTTTTACAGAAGTATATGCCAAGGAGAGTTTTTCCCCACCCAAATATCTTTATTTCTTTTCCCTGATTTACAAGTAGTCTAGGCTATAAAACATGAAAATTACTAAAACTGTCCCATGTTGACAAAAAAAAACTTTAAACAGTGGTAAGCAGTGACTGGAGGAAAAGCAGAGTAGCTGTAAAAATAGACTAAACTGTGTTTTTACAGAAGTATATGCCAAGGAGAGTTTTTCCCCACCCAAATATCTTTATTTCTTTTCCCTGATTTACAAGTAGTCTAGGCTATAAAACATGAAAATTACTAAAACTGTTTTACAAAGGTGATCTGTGTGATACGTAGAAAACTGTTTCAAATTAAGAGTTTCATCCAGCCAATTAACTTTTTTTTTTTAAATTAGTCCTAGGTGTTAACAAATCTTAATAATGGGTTAATGCTTCATTGATAGTGAAGCGAATGGGTGTAAAATATTTAATTTGCCGTGGTTTGAAGATGTTTTTTAGCATCCAATAGTTGGCGATAGTGCAACATTTTTACCCCAAAACGTCATACTAAATGAAGGAAGAAGAAAAGCTCAACCAATAGTCATTGAGTAAAATGCCACCTCTCGGTGTCTTTTTTTTTGCTGCCACAACAACGACGAACATTTTCAAAGCGAGAGAGTTCACTGCTACTCACTTCCGGGTTCGCCAAATTTGCACTATATAGTTATACTTCCATTTTGTAATTTTTTTTTTTTTTTACCGTTTTTAGTTTAAAAAAAATGTCTTTTGCCATAATTGTGTGTCTACGTTTTATTGCAATATTTTGCCTAATAAAAATATAATTTATTTGACCGTACGATTTTTTTTTTCTTTCTATGTCGCATGCGCAGTCCAATTTTGTCCATCTCCGCCAACGGCTAACAGAAACTGTAAATGTCCTAATGTTGTAGCAGTAAGTACCGCGACACTAGTTAGTACCATTTTATGAAACAAGAAATGTGTGTTTTTCTGTGTGCATTGCTGTCACGCGTACCTTTAAGCTAAAACACGAGTTTTGTTACAGTCATCTTTCGCTTCCTAGATATCAGGTCTCATCCTGCTCTCTGTTATCTCTTTGCTACAACCTACAACAGATTGTACACAATCATCATGGCGACCCAGGATGGTGGGTATAGAGAAAACACAGCAGCTTTCCTTCATATCTTTGCATTGAGCCAAAACGCGATTAATAAAATAAAAAAACACATGTCACGGACTGACATGTTCGTGTATCACGCTATTCGTGCGTTATCGTGTAGATTGACGTGTCTCCGTAACGTTATTCTTGACAGATTCCCCAGTGTTGTAGCCAGCTAACGTAGTCGTTTGCTAACATTTGGGAAATGTAGCTCTATTTCTAGATGGCTAAAGCAAACAATGGAAGATTTAGGCAGTTTATTGCTAGAGTGTATTTACTTGTGCTTCTATAGGAATGACTAAATGTTGTGTGGTAGTGAATGGAAACGGCGAATTACCGACTCACAGAATGTTACGTGAACCTTACCAGTTTGTAACCAGTAAGGCCAACCGGATTGATTTACAGGATCTTCGGGGTACATATTGTGTTTCAATAACATAGTCTGATTAAGTTCAGGGGTCTGATTTATCCCTTCACCGAATAGGCCTACACGTAGAAGAAGTGATCTCTAGTTTCTATAAAGAACAGCGATGGAAAGAGCTAGAAAGACCACGAGAGAGGAGTGTGGTTGAAGAAAAAGCGAAAGCAGACATTTTTTTTTATTACTCACTTCTTATAAAACTGTTGAGTCACTGCTGCTTTCAATATGTTAGCTTTGCATTAAAGGCAGTGTAATGCATGACATTATTATCAGTTATGATGTATTTTTTAACATTAAAAGTATTTGAGAGCAGCTACAACAAACTAACAATTAACCAAGGCTAGATTTAACAAAATGTAGTTAAATTAAAATTGTTAAGGTTTTGTTAAAAAAAGTATGGGAATAAAATATATATTTTCTACCATCGGGCAGGTACAATTAAAAACAAAAAAATATCACTTGAGATGAAACGAAAAGATGCAAATGTTTTCCTCCTACACTTTATTTTTGTTTCTTGTCTAAATGTATTATTCTCATGTAGAACCAAAGTAGTATATATATTTTTTTTAAATCATTTGAAGGATGTTGTCAGTGAAATTACTTTGTATTGTTTTAATAACTGTGTGTTTTTTATTCACAGACCAGATTCAGTTTTGTTTTTACATTCAAGCTGAACTGAAACTTCTCTGTCTTTGCTACATGTACTTTTTTACTAATATTTAGTGAAAAAAAAAGTAGATGAGTTTTTCTGATTATTTGTATCTATTTGGAAAATGTGGCATTTCTATTCTGAGAAACATCAACTTTGCACTCAACCTTTTGGTTTAATTGAATATAAAGTGTCTCAATCTATGTTTCCATGGCCTTCCTGTAGGTGAAGAAGTCATAATGGAAACTGAGGCAAAGCCACAAGAAGCTGAACCACTATGTGAAGGTGCTGAAAAAGGTGACACAGAAACTACGTCCCACACAGATGCAGGAAATGCCTCAACTCAGGAATCTAGTATTAGCAATGGGGACGACGCTGACGACGACGACCAGCGAGAGATGGTGGACGTGAAGATTATCTGGAACAAAAAGAAATATGATCTGAAAATTCCTCTTGATGACACTGGAGCCAAACTAAAAGAGAGCATCCATTCACTTACTGGTAAGACGGCTCATGCCAAGTCTTTCGTTCTTTCATTTCATGTCGGATGTTTTAAGTGATCACAACAGAGATATAATGTTCTTCTCCATCTTCCTAGGTCTTCCACCGGCTATGCAGAAAGTGATGTACAAAGGATTGGTTCCAGAGGACAAAACGCTGCGAGAAATAAAGGTTACAAATGGTGCAAAAATCATGGTGGTAGGATCTACAATGAATGATGTATTAGCTGTGAATACACCCAAAGAGGTCATTCAGCAGGAAGTCAAAGCAGAGGAAAACAAGAAGGAGCCTTTATGCAGGCAAAAGGTAAGATGAATAACATTTCATTCGAAATGTTGGAGGAGAATGTGCATGACGTTTTTGAGATTCTAATAACATCCCTGTTATTGCAGCAACACAGGAAAGTTTTGGACAAAGGTAAACCAGAGGACATAATGCCATCTGTCAAAGGAACAAAGGTGAGACAGGATGAATGGAGATGAGCTTTTGTTTTGTTTTGCATTGAGTGACTTGACAGATTTAGATTGATTTTATGCATTTAATATCTGAGCGAAGTGTGTTTTCCCACCAACAGGAACGGTTACCAACAGTGCCTTTATCCGGGATGTTTAACAAGTCCGGGGGAAAAGTTAGACTCACATTCAAACTGGAGCAGGATCAGTTATGGCTCGGAACAAAGGGTGAGGTTACGGCTGGTTTTCATATGGCTAAATCACAGCAACACAAACATACTGATGATGACGACGACGCGCTTCCCTGTTTTGTTTTTTTTTGTTTGTTTGTTTGCGTCTCCACAGAGAGGACGGAGAAAGTCCCGATGGGCTCCATTAAAAACGTATTGTCTGAACCCATCGAAGGCCATGAGGACTATCACATGATGGTAACTGTTACCTTACATCTTACATCTGCCTGCATGTCATGACTAAAGGCCAAACACTGAGAGGGGTGACACAGTCTGAGGAGTGGTTTATGAGTAGTTTGTTTTAAACTCAACCGAATGTACGAGTTCTTCTGTAGAAGTGGAGATTGCGTGTGGAGCTGCAGTCACTGCAGTTTGTGTGCGTCAGATTGATGGGCCCATCATTTGCTGTTTTGGGGGCTCTGCAGTGGAGCGGGAAATGTCACTGCTTTCTCTACATTAACCTTTCTGTCTAAAGGCACTTCTCTTTTTCATTGTCAGAGAAAAACAGAAGTCCCCCGAATAAGTATCTTAATTGAATCGGGTTGTCTTGAGGAGATCAAGTTTTGTTCTTTAAGAGGAACAAATGATGTGTCATAGCAGCATTGATTTACCAATATAAAAGTTCAGGATAATGTATTACTGCTCAGGCTGAGTCCCTTTTTTCAACATGATTTTGCACTCATTCGTGCTCCAATAATTGCAATTTAAAAAGCAGCTTTTATACAAGTATGATTTTAGGTTTTACATGACGGAAGGCAGAAAAGACCAGAGAAAAGTCTTGAAATGGAAATTGTTAAGCTGTGAATGTCACAGCAGTGGCTCTAAGTGTGTTTTACGCAGAACTGTTGATCTACAGTCGGGGTGTAACTGTACACAGACGTCACGGTTCGGTTCTTAACTCAGTGTCAGGGGTCAAGGTTCGGAAACTACAAAAAGTCCCAAAAGGAAAATTCTAGGTTTCTCTGATTCAGTTTGAACTTTCATGAGTGCAAGAAGCAACAGTGTTCTCCATCTAGTGTTGTTTAGAACCATCTGTAGTAGTTACTACAGCTTGTCGTGTCAGAAACATCGAACACAAAAAGAGAGGGTTGTGTTTTGTTTGCGTCTGCTTCTTCTTCTGTGGTTGTTGTATAAAAGCGGTTGGCAAACAGTTATGAACATTACAGCCACCTGGATTGGGACCACGACCATGTGTGAAAGCCTTTTTCCCCCCCCACTCAGATAAATTTGTTCTGAATCGTGACAGTTGGGGACGAATACAAATACAGTTACCTCCCTATCATACAGTTAAACATCCAAGCGACTGTATGAGTGGACATTTGAGGGAGTTTTCTTGTTTTACGGTTCACTTGTTATTGAGGTTTAGTAAACTGCAGGATGCATTACTTCAGGTCAGTGTTCTGGATCACCTGCAGAGGAGGTCATGTTGATTTAAGATATTAATTGGCAGGGAGCTACACATTTAAAACAGTGAGCCATACATTGATAATAGAGAAGTATTACGCCTTGATTGTTTCACACTCTAAATCAGAAAAAAGGAATTAGGGAGTACAGAGACAGTTAATTAAGCTCAGTACATCTACCTATCATCTCTTTGAGTGTAATTACTGACAAGCATTATCCAAGCGAAGTCTAAGTATGCAGAAATCTGAATATTCATTCATATCATACCAGCTGAATTTATTTCAAAGTCAGATTTCATGTGGGGGGGGGGGGGGGGGTGTTTGTATTTACATTTTTTGTTGCAGACCGTGTGAGCATTTTTGATGGAATTCAATAAGATTACCATTTTTTCCCCCCTCTTTTGTAGGCTTTTCAGTTGGGTCCAACAGAAGCGTCTCAATATTGGGTCTACTGGGTGCCTGTACAGTTTGTCGATGCAATCAAAGACACAGTTCTTGGAAAATGGCAGTATTTCTAATGTGCCTCTTTTTTTGACGATGAACTGGGATCGAGAGGACGAGCCTATGGAGAAAAAAAAGAAAAAAGAAACTGGAGTCAGCGGTGAAGCTCAACAAGCTTCTTGGAATATTTTGGAAGGAACCTATGGATGCCTACGGACTAATCATATTGTTTTTAGGTTAAAAGTGCACTATGTGGCAGCGTAACATTTCTCAGCCCTGTTTGAGCATTCAAGGTTTTCTGCTAATCCAAGGGAAATTGATGAAACAATTGTACAGAAATTGCTAACACTTTTGTTCAGTTATTCTTAAAGAAATAAAACTTATTTAATGAAACTCACACATTGAGGCACTGTCGTTTGTTTCCTCAGAATTTGTCATCAATATTTTTTAATCACTTTATATGGAACTAAAATTTTGCACATTCAGCCCAGTTAATGATTGTTCAGTTGTACAGGAGCAGTGAGTGGACAGCTCTATGAAGGTCCCTATTCATGTTGTGGATTATTATTATGGAGTAGGCCACATCAGGACTTTAAACATTGGTCTAATAAAGGGTTTTCATGTCACTGACAAATCTCCCCAAGCAACACTTCCTGTGTAGATTATATAAAAACATTCTTTAGGTATTTTAAACAACCTGATTTTATCTGGGGTTTACACATTGTAAGTTTTAAATGAATGTATCACTTGATATGACTTCAATACTTTGAATGGAGGGCTTTGTTAATTTTATAAATTAAAGACATCATGGTGTAAAAAAATAACAGTCATGCATGTGGATTAAACCACCTTTCACATTCAATCAAATTTGTTCACAGGTAAAAAGGATTGTTGTGCTTCCTACCAATATTTCAGCAGTGGGTCGTCTTGTGTTCGAGTCACAATGGTGATGTGTAAAAGTACAAATTACACAATAACAATAAATATAACACGATGAAAGAAACATCTTTCCATTTCTATGGCTCACAAAGAAATCTCTTGTGCCAGATGTGGTGATATTTTACAATGTTTTAATTCGTATACACAAATATAATCCCTTTAATGTAATGTTTTCTTGTTTTGATAACGGAAACGGTTTTATAATTATGCAGACGGCAAAACTGTCATTTGTGTTTTAGAGGTTTGTGTACAGTTTCACACATTACGAAAGTGATAATAGTCGGATTCTTTTTCACACCATTTATCTCAAAGACTATTCTCACAAACGACTTCAAAATGTAAGAGCGATATTGGATGCTTTTACTTTGAAGGTTTCCAGACCGGAGCTGGAAATGATGACGAAATATGCAAGACGTCATGCTAGTTGTTTTGGCGGGATGCGGGTGTGACGCAAACATTTTCCAGACATGGGTCAGCTGTCAGAAGTTAGCAGAAGTTAGTTATGAACACAGCAACCGGAGAGAGGAAACGGCCACCCCCCGTTAAAGTGTTGTCCGGTCAGCTGAGGACGGCGAAAGAGAACCGGGGGAAAGCCGACAGCGGGGATGGATGGAGTGTCAAGCTGGGTAAGGGTCGCTCTCTTGCGGTCTCACTGGTGTGGATGCAGGGGACGGTGGTCGAGGTCCAGATAGACAGAAACACCGTCCTGCTGATGGACGAGACGGGAACGTTTGGTGTTCAAGGCGTCAACAGCATCCCAAAAGGAAAACCATGTTTGTCCCAAGGTAAATAAATAAATAATAAATAAATAAAGTTAACGTTTTGAAAGCTGAAGACTGATAGGTTGTATGTTTCAGGCGAGACCAAACTATGTTTTATTTTACTTTACCATTGGATTGCCCAATTTCTTTTCTTTTTTTTTATTAGGTGATGCAAAACAATTCAAGTGTATGCTTTTTTCCCTATATTTTTCCTTCTTCTTTACTTAATTCCATTTTTATTTTATTTTCTTTCTTTATTAATATATATATATATATTTTTTTACTCCTTTTTCTTCTTTCCCCTCTGTTCCCCTGGATTGCCCAAATAAGGTCCAGACTCCCAGGGATCCTAAGAGACCGAGAGGCCCAGGCACTAGTGTTTGTCAAACAGCTATCTCAATTAAAAACAGTACAATGTCATGTCTTATAATAAGTCAGACCAGCAGCCTAAAGTCAGACATTTAGTTTTGATGAACTAAAAGGTAATGTCTCCTGAGAAGCTGGGACCACATAGATGTGTGGCCTTAATCACTTCAAGGTGTTGTTGTGTTTTTTTCAAAGGCGGCCACTGATTCGTTCTCTGTCCATCAGCTCGGCGATGAATCGATTTATAGTCACAGCTCTGATGCAAAACAAAACCATGTGATATGCTAGAGTGCCCAGTTCTTCATGTCCAAAGGGCCCTCAAGCTTATCAACGCAGCAATGACATCTTTGGATTATTTTCAGTCTTGTAAGACCTTTTTTGTTTTTTTAAGAGCAGAGGGTTTCAGCTATGTAAATTCAAATAAAATCAGACTGAACTTTTGATTAATGAAAGCTGTTCTCACACTAGTTAAACATGTAGAGACCAAAGACTGTATGCAGGTGTTGTGTTTGGAATATTAAGAAATTGGAAAAATCTAATGTCAGTGTCCTACTCTTCATCATAGATCACATATAAATATTTTACCTTTGTTTTTCTTTAAGAAATAAACAACACTGATAATTACCTTGTTAATTTTCAAAGATTATTTGTACTAACTGGAAAACGTCAGTCAGGATTATTTGGTGTAGCCTACCCTCTTACATTATGGATATGAAAGATGGATGGGATGGTGTATCTGAATACTGCAATGAAAGTCTCACAGCCTCATGTCGTCGCATCACCATCCTCGTTTCCTCGAATCTTTTGTCACTGAACAATCAACCACCTGCTGCTTCCCTTTCTTTCTTTTTCTTCTTTTTACAGGCAAATATGTCATGGTGATGGGCGTCATCCTGGCCGTCTCCCCGGAGCCAGTCATCCGTGCCGTTAAGATGGCAGACCTCTCGGAGCTCGCCGCACTTCACAGACGGATGTGGAAGCTGGAGGTGGAGGAGCTACAGCAGCTGTTGGCGTGAATGCAGAGAGAACAACGTGCTGCTGTGGAGCGTGCGTGTGTGTGCGTGTGTGTGTGGTACAAAAAACCTCACGGACTGAACTGGGGAAGGATCTTTAGTGGGAGTTATGATGCAAACGTAACACTCTATTATATTAAAGTATTTATACTATGATGTTGACATTTGAAAAGCAGATGTTTCCCTCTTGGCTCCAACCTTAAAGACTCATTTAGATTTAAAGAGAGGAGCTGTAGGGTTCAATGCTGGAGTTATTGCTGTGATGGTTTACTTTGGAGCACATGTGAGGCTGAAGTGAACTTCCTCTAAAAATGACTGACCAATGGTTATCCAGCTGGAGGAGCGGTTTCCTGTTTAATATATTTACCGATGCTTGGGGAGAAAAGTAACACAGAGGAGAATCTTGTTTCTTGAACATATCTTTAAGAATGACTACTGAGATTATCAAAAGTTCAAAAATGTAGAAATCAATTTGAGATGAAACAAGCGGTTCAACAAGAATGTGTGTGAATGGGATTAGTTATTGACATTTTTTTATTCATTTGTAAATCAGTTCATGAGATGTTCAAACCTTCAATGTTGAATTAGAATGGAAACAGTTTCAGTCTTTGAACATTTGTGAACTTTTTTTTCCCGATACTGCACGTATTCTACCGCACAGGTTCTAATCATCACTGAAGCGTCTCCATTTCATTGTTCTTCTTACTCAACACATTTCAGAGGAAAATATTAATAAAGTAAGTTGTCAAAAATCTTGATCAATGGCTCGATTTCATTCACACGACTCACAGTATCGCTCCATATAATCAGTTGGTAGTCGGTCATCTCTAAACCTGAAGGTTTGGGGGTTCGATCCCCAGCTCCTGCAGCAGCATGTTCGATAAGTCCTTTGACAAGACGCTGAACACCAAGTTGCTCCCGCTGCTTTGTCAGCGGCATATGAATGTGTATGAATGGATTAGTAACCTCTGCCATCAGTGTGTATGTGTGACATGCGGTGTAAAAGTGCTGAAGTCCATTTACCAAATGTCACCAAGTATTCTGAAATATAAACCAGTTATTTACACAACGGGGTATAAAGTGTCACCTCCACTAACTAAAAGCTGTTAATACATTACTAATCCGTCAGTGAGAATAATGTACAACATTAATTAACAGCCATCATTTCATCTGTAGTGACTGCTGTGATATTGGAATAATAATATCAATGTGACTTTATTACCTCATTTTATTTGGCAAAAGATTCAAGTTCTTCTTCCCCCAGTGATCCCACATGTTAAATAAATGGAACACCAAGAAGTTTTGACACGGATTTAAAAAACGAGGCTTTATTTGGCGTGGTGCCCATTACACAGGTAACACTGTTAGAGAAATGGAAAAGTGAGAATGCCAACTGAACTCTCAATTTAAGTAATCCATACTTAAAACTTGTTGAAGGGCAAAGATCATTAACATACAAACTGTTTTATTGAAAGAAATTACTTTGTTTTAAGGTCATCTGTGTCTCTGAACGTGGCCTACACATGCTGGTGTCACCACCATCCTCAGATATTCTACTGAACGGTGCAAAGCAAAAGCTTCAAAGTGTCTCACACTTTTTGCTGTTAGCATTAACACTCCGGTAGGCGAATCTAAGTAAACCAGCCACCAATCAGAGGGCTGGTCCTGAACCCCCTCTCTAAAACCATGCCAGGATCATTTTATTCCCTGTGCACTTCAGAGGCCCCTTCAAGGATCACCTGACTCAACACTTTGTTTGAATACTGCATTATTTGCAAGTGAACATGAATATCGACGTCACATGATTTATAAAATGGGTTTAAGGAGAAAACTGTATTTTCCAAAGTCATTGTCATTTGGTGCTATAAGATGGTCTTTTCTGGCTTTGGCAAGTTTCATCAAAAGGAATTCCCTGCGCTCCATCCACTCTTTTAGTTCCTGCGCCCCATGTGCCAGTTTACACAAGTCGTCCTCCGTGCACGTGTCTTTGAGGAACCTGTCAGAAAAACAAATGTGAAACCATCAGAAACGTCAGGAACCGCGCTGAGACGTGCAGTTTTTTTTTTTTTTCCTTCTTCCGCTCACGGTCTTACCTCTCACAAACTTTGAAAGTGCCCGTGGGAAATCGATACTGCCAGCAGTTGTGATCGTCCTCAGAGTTAAACACTCGGTCTTTGTGTTTTTCTGAAGTGATATGCTGCTGCCACTGTTTCTCACTGTTGCAGTTTTTACCACACAGCCAACAGTGATTGCCCGCCTGTGAAAAAACACACAGAAAACCCCAGTTACACAGATGACGTACAACTGTCTTGTTTCTTCATCATTTTTGTCAATACGTTTCCATGACAAATTCTCATGACCTAAGTCTTTCTGAAACAAGTGTGTAAACATGGAAAATAAGAAATAAAATTCAACGCCTCGTCTTCATCGTGGAAAAAAAGGTTGTTGACCAAATAAAAGTCTTTGATAACCACAATTAACTTTAGAAAATGGGAAGAATAAGCCACCTTAAGGACCGGCTTCCACTAAGGATTTTTTTTTGCTCTACAGCAACCTACAACCTCAGTTTCAGAGCGAGAGTTCCCTTTCACTCTCTTTCAGGATCCTCAGGTCCACTATTTGCTCTTTTGCAGAAGACATTCATTTCTGCTTCACCGCAGCTCAAACATTGACTTGCAGTGGGAAGGGGGTGGGGGGGATACTTTAGTGTCTATCAAAAAAACTAAAAATCGCAGGACTAACTGGTTGTTGGAGCTCTACTGAAAATTAAAGTCTTCGGATCAAAAAGCTATTCATATTCATTTATCTCGACTTTTTAACACAAAGCCCTAAAACGGATGACTATTTGCTGATCTTTGAAACTCACCACTTCTTCAGCGTAGTCTGTTGGCATGTGGATCTGTTTGCCGTTCTCCCTCACAGAGTTACTGGAGGCCTCATCACCCCAGCCAGGCTTTTGAGACTGCAGCCACTGCTCATAAAGCTGATCCATATCTGGAACTAGATGAGAGGGTAAAATGACTGATTAGTGAAGTCACATCAAGTTTGAATTCTATTCAACTAATGGAAGTCAAACAAGAAACCAAACTCACTGTTGTTTTCCTTCATGTAGGTCCAAAGGTCTCGTTCTTCAATGCTGTGAGCAAACGTGCAATTCCCAATGTACTGACACTTCTTGCCAGCCGTCACATGCATGCAAATCTGAGAAAGAACAAAAACATGTTGTGACTCTGCTGGAGACTTGTTCAAAACAAAAAACACAGCTTACAAATAAGATATGATAAGATAAGATAATCCTTTATTTATCCCACAATGGGGAAATTTACAATAAAATAACCGTCAGGATGGAAAACATGTTGCGCACATACCTCAAATTGAGATGGGATGGGTTTTTTGGTTGGAAGTGGTCGAACTGTTGTCCACTTTTTCCTTTCATGGGAACTTACAAGCACCACCCGCCTGTCTTTGGCCCATCTGAGACAGAAAACAGACGTTGAGTTTGTGGCGTCACCGACTATTCACATTTTTTGGTACCAGAGGCTGCTGAGTACTCACGTGTGTCTTGCTTTGGCTGAACAATACTTCTTGTTTTTGTCAGCTTCACTGAGTTGGCCGTTCCTCCAGCACTGGCCGCAGACAAACATCATCTTCAGAGTTGGAGGCCCGAAGCGTCTTTGGGTACATGTAATCTGCTATGAAATGCAAGAGCTGGTTACAATCTTTGTAAGTAACACATGATTTTACCAAATGCAGCACAACTCGAGGGTTGTTTGTTAACCCAGAAACATTCAAACCCAGTTTGTGCAGGAAGTTGCTTGATAAATGTATATCTATCAGGGAAGTGATAAAAATCATTCTGTTGGGCTTACCTGGGCTCCCTGGAACGAAGCTGTTGCATTTGCCTCTTGGACAATACTTTCATGGGTGATTCCTTTATGACAGAATAAAAACGGAATGAATGGAAAAATGATGCAGAGAATATATGTCTTCTGTATTCCAACACCATCAAGCCCCCTTTGAGTATTTTGAAAAAGCAGCCTTACCATGCTCGTGCTGCATCATCCAGACCTTCAGCTCGATGAGGCTGTGGGCATAGAAGCAGTCGTCTTCTCTCTGACAGCCGTAGCGGACCTCATGGCGACAAAGATCCAGCTGGCAATGAGGACTCAGCGGTCGGATTTTGGAATAACGAACGGTGGTCTCTTTCAAAATGTGGACCAGGCACCTGAGAGACAAACAAGACAACAGTGTCTAACCAGACTTCCCCTGCTTTTTAAAATGACCTGAAACGTTAGCACAAGGTACTGCTAACGAGTACCATACTTGAACCATAAAATGAACCCTTTCAAGTGACGTGTAAAGACTTACTTATGATCCTCAAAGTCGTGCTTTGTCACTGGATGAGAGCAAAGTGTGGGGTCATCTCTATTGGTTTTGCTGATTATTCTGGGTTTGTGGTCAAAGCACACCTACAAATTAAACAGCATGCAATTAAATTAATAATCAATACTTAAAAAGAAACGTGATAATTAGAGCATCATACCCCAGGATAATATTATTAATTATCAATCATACATTCCCATTACATGCTAATAATAAGCACCAGACAAGGACAACAATTATTACAAATAAGCAAAGTGTTAGATGGCCTCATTTTCATTTTGGGTTTGGAAAGAGCAAAGTCTGTGCTCGTAAAACTTGTGCACAATCAGTTGATGCCATTACAACAGATTTTTTTCAAATGTAGATGAACAATGACAGGAGCAATGGGTTGAAAAACAGTGTTTCAAAAGGGGCTCACAGGGTCAATAAATACTCACTCCACAGAGAAACATGAATATCCCATGATGCTCCTGTAAGATCTTGGGGACAGTGAGTCTGATGTGCGAGTTGGGTCCATAAGGATCAAACAGGAGTTCTCTGGAGATAAACCCTTTCCGCTCCAGAGTCCACACATCAATCTCTTCCTGACAATATGCAAATGTGCAGTGTCCTGGGTACAGGCATTCTTTTCCAACAGCCACCTCTGAAACAAAACACAGGGGGTTTTCATATGACAAGTTAAACAGAAGTGTTGTGTTGCGTTAAATGGGAAAGGGCCTGAAATCAAGATCTAAATTCAACAAGGGTAGGTAGGGACATATAAAAGCAAGGAGGAAGTAAGAGCTGAACATTAAAACACGCCCATGGAACAGTATTTGCATAAATTCCAATTCCTAAGAAGTTGGGACATTGCGTAAACGTTTATAGAAAATGTGATGTTATGATTAGCAAAACATTGAAACCTTTTTTTTTTTTTTAATAATTGAAAAAAGCACGACAACATGTCAAAATGAAACTAGAAATGTCAACGTTTTGGTAAAACGATATTCCCACTAATGCCAGCAACGCATTTAAAAAACAGTTTGGACAGTGATGTGTTTAGCATGCTGTTGCATTGAGACACATTTGTTATTGTGAAAGTGGAATGTTTATTGTTTAATGAAGGACTTCAGCCCTTCAACAGTTCAGAGACTCCTTTGTTATTTTATGCTTCAAAAATAATGAATGGGTGACAGAAGGCCAGTTTTATCACCAGGGCTGTTACCATGGAGCCATGCTGATGTAACATTTAATGTACCCTCCTTAAAAATGAAGTTCTCTTTTTGCCAGCATATTGTTGTTGTTCCAAAACCTCTGTACATGTTTCAGCATTCATGCCCTCACAAATGTGCAGCTTATGCATCCCCAAACCATCACAGATGTTGGCTTTTGAACT